AGGTCCCAGCTATTCTCTTCACAGCTTCCCTCCACCTCCTTCCAGCACACCTGGGCTGCAGCCAGATAGCGCCTCTCTCCATCCCTGGTTGCCATTGTACAATCCTGCCTGAGCTGATACTCCCGCTTTTTTAGCTGCTCTTCTCTGGTCCTTATTTGTGAACCTCCTTTCCTGCCATTTCTGGCCTCTAACATGGCCTTGAGGAAAAGAAGTGAATATCTCAGTGCAAGGAATGTATCAACCATGAGACATGAGCAAAACAATTTCTTTGTTACTGGCCATGGTCCCTGCTTTCTTTCTGCTCAACAAGTTTCTTAAGGATACTTGATTTGCTTGCTGGCCATTCTATGCATGTGGAAATCACAATGAGATCTCAATGACAAGTCGACCCGTTATGTGTTTCCTGTTCTGGGCATGATGGACTGCAAGTAATACTGAAATTAATTTAGTTTGAAAGAAAAGGGCAGGGATCCTCCATAGCATTTCTGAGTGTAGCGGATCATAACCTGAGCATGAGACAAGTGTCATACTGTTGTGAAAATGACAGGAATCGTACTGGGATGCTTAAATAAAAGTGCAACCTTCTAGCCACGCTGATTAACCCCTCTTCTCTCCTTGGCATTTTGGTTCATCTTAGATGGGATATTGAGTACAGTTCTTGATGATTAAATTCTGGGAAGCTGCAGACCTAATGATAGAGGAGAGCAAAAAAATATCCCCAAACCAACCCCACAAACACCAGATCTAGAAAATTCTATAAGCAGCAGGACTGAAAGAACTGAGATTATTTGGTAGGAAGATAAGAGTGAAGAGGGATGTGAAAATAGTCCTCACATATATAAATGGTTGTGAAGGGAAGAAATGAATAAACTATACTATTATGAACGAGAAAAACCAGTAGTCTTACATTTCAGCAGATGTTAGGAGAGCCAGTCTGACAGTAAGGACAGCTGAGCACTAGACTGTCTTGCTTAAGCGATCTGCGGTGTGTTTATCATTGGAAGTTTTTAAGCACAGGCTGGACAAACATCCTTCATCCTTTGGGAACACTTAGGTGTGGACTGATCCTGCCTTGGGGCTGCGGGCATGGATGAGCTGTCTTGTTACGTTTCTTCAGGTTCTCTATCTTGGATTCCTTTATAGAAAGGATTGTTCTGTGGCACTCCGGCAAAAACAAGCATGCTGGCTCTCAGACAAGAGTCAGGAACTGAAAGGAATTGAGAGCTCCCACTGCAGGGCAATTAGGCTTTCACAAGAATGTGTTAAAACAAATTAGTCATTGTAAACAAAAATTACAATAAGCAAATAAAGAATAAGGCTATAGAAAGAAGACATGTAATTCATAGATTAAGGAAATTAGTCCTATTGATAATACAGAAATAAAAAGTGTGAGAAACTGTAGAGATTGTAATTTCTGTGTTAAAAAGCACTAATGGATGCTCAACCTAGTAGATAAGATAACTAAATTGTCTAAGTTTCCAATAAAAAGTTTAATATGAAAGTTGGGGGTCATGGGCAGGTGGTAAACTGCCTAAAACCAAGTTCACAAGAGGAGCATCACCTCAGAGTGGAGGTCTTCTTTACATCCCATCACTAACGCAAAACTGGCTCCTCCTACATCTGAGAAATAGCTATACTTAGTCTGTTGTTTGCTGTAAAGCTTCTTTCTCTGCTCATGCATCTAGAAAATCCTGGCTCTTGTCTCACTTCTGACGTCTCTCATTTGCATTTTTCCTGCTATTCTATTTTCTATTAATCTGAGTCAATTTAGCAAATGAGAAAATGAGGACCAGACAGCACATAATTTGATTACTCATGTTCTCTTAAACATTTACCCATACTACTGAAAACTAATTCTAATTCAGCACTACAGTTTTTAGCCTACTAAAGCCTAAAAAGATTCTGAGGTTGTAAGAGTCAGCAGAGATGAATGGATATTTTTAGGGAGCAGTTAATGCGAAAGTATCTGTTTCTCTCTGTTGTCGTCATATTGTCTTTCTCAGCAGCTCTAAAGGGAGCCCATGGTGATTATTTCAGATGGAGACATCTGCACTGTAGATGTCTACATTCATTCAGAATCCCACCTCTTGTTTCTAAATAATACAACCTTTCACTTGTTCATACTTTCATAGAATAGAATAAATTCTTTACTGTCCTTTGATGTTTCTTTGGCAATAAGTGTGATTTTTGGGTTTGCTGATGCACTGTTTCCATGAGGTAGTGCGTTCTTTTGCAGGATGCAGTTACCTGTGGAGTGTGTCATCTTCATCCCAAGCTGCAGGTAAGGGAGGTTTGACAGAGCCAGGCTGTGTGATTTACACCTGATTTACACCTAAAGGTAACGGCCAGTTTGGATGTTAGAGCTGCTGAGGGACGTGGCTACTGAGAGCCGATGGGTGGCAACCCATACCTTGGTAACAGGGTGGAAGGAGTATAAAATGGCCTGGAGCACACAGAAACACACAGTCATTTAGTGAAAACCATCCCTCTGTACTGACTGACTTCTTCCTTGGTGGATGCCATCTACCTGAGTTCTTGGGCACTTGCTGCCTTCAACCCTTTCTACAGCTCACTCAAAACACGTCACTGAGATTATCTTCATGGGCGTTTATCCTGCCTTGTTTTTCCTGTTGACTTCTCTCTTCCAGTTGACAGAACCACAGAGTCAGAGAATGGATGAGGTTGAAGGGACCTTCAAAAGCTGTAGGAAGAGGCTGGGCAGTCCAGGAAGCTTCTCAAATGACCATTGTCCTTTGGGCAGCAGAAGATACACATGAACAGGAGAAACTGAGAATATGAGAAACACAACACACAACAGTGCCCAAGTAAAGTCTATATTCCTAAGTGTGTGATATTTTCAAAGGTAAAACTCAGAAATGAACTAATTTTCAAGAGCTGCTAGTGTATCATTTTTTCAATACAATAATAAAATAAAGCAGATTGTGTATGCTATATGTTTTATGTTTTTATGTTATAGATAGAAATTTATTTTCCATCTTCCATATAGATTTTAAATGTCTTACCATCAAAATAATAATTTTATGAAATTAACATATACTTATATTAATCCATTTATTTTAAACTTTTAGAAGTATTTATAAAAGCTGAAAAACAGTGGCATAATTTTTATGCTCCTCTGCTTGTAAAAATAATTGTATTCAGCTGGATGAATAATGAAATGATTAAATACCCCATATCATCATCATTTTACTGTAGTCATGTTTTATTAATCAAATTAATCAGTTTGCCAATTTCCTTTAAAACTATGTTCTGACATCATTTTAAGGATATTAAAATACAAGAGAAGGAGTGAGAAAGTAGGGTACATGTGTCAGCAAGAGGTCCGGATCTCACCATTGTAGAGTTTTATTATTTTGCTATTTTAGGTAAGCTGATCTTAGAAAACTTTTCGAGGCATCCAAACAAAATTAGCACCATTAGGTGGTAGCAAAAATCAGTGGCAGCTCTGCTTTGTACACATTAAGGGCTAGCTGAGCCATGTACTCTGAAATCAAGTCCAAGGCATCTCACATTTGGCAGACCGGGTTACCAGGTAGTTTCTTTCGTTGTGAATGGGGAAAATGATCCTTCCCAAGCTCCAGAGTGATAGTGCTCGTCCCTGAGTTTTCTTAGGGGCTTCTGAAGTGTGCGTACGAGTCATTTCTCATGGTCAAATCCCTGGTGGCCTCACTGCCCTCCTGCCTCACCCCGCTTCCCGGTCACACTGCGGGCTCACTGTGCCCTGGGATACTCCCTCTGGGGTTGGGAAGAGATGGGAATGTCCTGATGGGAGCAGAGTCTGAGGGGAGGTGGGTCCTGCCAGGCTGTAGGTCTGTGTCACTGCTGCCAGAGGTGAAGCGGCCAAGGGCGATGGTTTTGGGCTAGAAGAGGAGAAATTAATGTGAGGATCCTGCTGCTTCTTTTGCAGTGTTAACATCAGGTCACGGATGTTTCTTTCTGACTCCTTCCGCTCCTCTCCATTCATGCGCAGCCAAGGGCAGGTCTGGGTGTCCCCAGCTGCCACTGTCTGACCCTGCCTGAGGAAACACAGCTGGCGAGCCAGCTGTGATTGAGCGGTCCTTGTGGGTGAAAGCATGCTTCCTCTGGGCTTTGATACCCCCTTGGAGAAATAAGAGGAAAGTCCTGATTTAAAAAGGAAAACAGGCTGTGCTTCCATCACATGTGGTGCTCTTTTGGTGCCTTCCACCGAAAGGCTTGTCCAACTTCCCATCATCTCCATTCGCAGACACTGCCAGCTGTACAGAGCACTGATGAGCAGGAGGGGGTACAGAGCCAAGGGCGGGAAAGGCTACGTTGCCTCTTAATGTGACAGGAACAGGGGGAGTGGAGTAGACATTGGAAGAGAAACCGAGAAGAGGGAAAATCTTCATCTTCTGGTAGTTCAAGGTTTGACACCCCATCTTGCTATAAAATCCTGAGGCTCAACTTTCCTAAAATGTATTCTCCTCTTTTCCTCTTGAACAGAAAAGCAGCTTCTGCCAGACCCTGCAAGCCTGACTAAGGGCCCTAGGGAGCATTGGTTATCTCTGTGTTAAGAGAGTTTCAAATTCACCTCTCCCTGCATCATGGCATCCTCAAAGACTGTGCACTCAAGTTCAGTATCACCTTTCTGGAAAACCTGCCCTCCACCTTCCCTCTCCATGGCGTTTATCTCCGTGATCCCTGAGAATCACTGCGGGCATCCCAGCATGTCTGACTTCAGTTAAGCCTGTCACAAAGCAAAGCACAATGTTTTTTACTGAGATAAAAATAACGGTGAAAAAAAAGACATTGAAACCATAAACAACCTACACACATGTCAAGCTTACCACGAATCCTATTCAACAGAGGGTGTTGAGAGACGCAAGGCTTGAGTTTACTTGTACTTTGTTCCAGACCAGGTCCCTTTGTGTTTCTTTGCATAGTTTGACCTGTCTTGCCAGACATCCAGCAATAACTAAAATGGTTATGACAGTTTCTCTCAAAAGGCAAATGTCCCCATGGCCAAGTATCTGCATAACCAGAAGCAGGAATCGATATTAAGCCTCTACCATGAGCACAGCAAGGAGCACATAGGTCTATGCTATAGCCCTTCAGTGATGGTGGATACATCTGCAGCCACACCATCTGCTGCCCGTTGGCTTTTGAACTCCCAGGGGAGCTCCCCATGGGCACTGTGAGCAGGTCAGCAAGTGCTGTGTAATTGCCTGGGTGGGAGCTATTGCTTCTAAGGTGTTTGTCAATGGACTGGTGGGGAAAGGCAAGCTGCCTTGGCAGGGTATAAATTCCCTTGTCCACATACCGGTTCTCCTTCAACAGATGCAGAATGCAAGAGATGATGCTCCTCACGCCAGCAATCCTCATCCTGCTCCTCTCCCTCTGCACCCCAGGCACAGGGGCAAGTGAATACACCTCTGTCCTCACTGTGCCCAATGGAGCACGCTGGGGAAAGGGGGGCAGTTGGCAATTTTGCCGCTCTGGCTATGCCAATGGACTTGCACTGAAGATAAATTTCTCCCTATTTCCCACCATCTCCTGTCCCTACACCCAGCTCGCCACCTCTCAGGCAGGTCTTCTCCAGAGTCTAAGGACTTTCTGCAGAGTTTTTCCTCTTCTTGAGTATGGTACTCTGTACATAAAACTATGAGTCTCCTGGAAAATTTAGCCTAGAAAATGTTGCCACTGTAGTTACACCAGTAAAGAAAAACGTGATTTTTTTTTTTTTATCTTTTAGGACAAGAGGTCTCCCAATAGATACAGCAAAACCAGAGCTACTGCCAGAATTGTTTTGCTCTCAATCTGGATCGAGGCATGCTGGCAGATGCACAGTCTGCATGTGGCTGATGTTGCTGGGAGAAGCCACGTCAGTGCTGAAATCTGTGGCGGGAGTCAGGGAGAGAGGCAGCCTCCTCCAGCATCTCTCCTGGGACTCAAAGCCTCTGCCTGACATATTGGGTCAGAAATAGAAAACACAAAGAAGAACATGTTACGAGGGTTATGTAGGTACACTGCATTTTCCCAGTGACAGACATCTTTTCCCATGTGCTTCCCAAGACATTTTCTCATTACAGAAAGGAGTTGGGACTGTTTATGACTGGTGTTTAAAGGACTTTTCCTGGGTCTTCTCCCCCTTGCCTTTACCTCTGTCTCTGTGTGACTTCTACTGCAGATGGAGCCCTCCCAGTTTGGAACAGATGACACAGCTCTGAACGGCATACGTCTGCAACATCGAGATGACTCAGTCACCAAGTTCTTGATGGGGGAGTCAGAAACACTGTGGTTTCTCGCCTGTTTGTCATGCACCAGCTCACAAAATATCCATAGGGTGTCACCATTTGCAGGGGTCTCTTCTCTGACCCGCTTTATCTGTATAATACTGTAGTATAAAGTAAATTAAAACCAGGTGGTTGGGGGTTTTTGTTCATTCATTTTTAGCAGAATCAAACATGGTTACTTCAGATGACCGCCTTCTGTTTGCTTGTGAAATTTCTGCAGAGCACTGTGAACACCCAAAGTACAGTCCTAGGGATAGAGTCCTTTGGAAACCTGCAACACATGGGGCAAATGAGATAAAAGGGGTTTGCAACCATACATTTAGAAACTGTTTGGGTGAAGCCCTGGCCCTGCTGCAGTGAACAGCCCTGCATCACCGGATGGCAGTGCCTGCTCTCCCCACTGCCTGGTGTGTACCTGTCAGACAGCTCAGGGACGCATCACAAAACATGTGCTCAGGCTGTCCTCGGAGTTTCTACCGGAACCATAACTATCCAAACTCTCGGCATTTTTCACTTCCTGGTGTTTTCCTAATGAGATACCAAAAAAGAGAAAAGTACACCCTTGGAAAGGAAGGAAAGAAAAAGGAGAAAGTAAGGGGTCCCAGACTGCAGCGAGATATTGTGCTGGTCACTGCTGTGAGCAAGGAGGTGTTGAGCTTCAGGACATCATGACAAGGAGAAGGAGAGCTTCCCAGCAGTTTGCAGAGCCCTGACAATCCTCCATCTGCTTTTTGTCAGGTGGGGTACCTGGACCAGCTTCCAAGTTTGCCCTGGAGGCTACTTGATCTCCTTCTCACTGAGAACAGAGAAGTCCCAAGGAGGAGGTGATGACACAGCAGCCACCAACACTCAGTTCAGATGCTCAGATGCAGCTGTGCTAGTAGGTGATGGACTATCGTGGGGTAGATTTGGCCCATGGAGCAAAAGCTGCAACATATGCAGTCTCCAGACTAAGGTAGAGCCCCCACAGGGGCTTCAGGATGACACAGCGCTCAGCAATGTTCTTCTGCTGTAAATGAGCATTTGCTCCATCTTCATCACTGCCTACACACCCCATATCCCACAGCAAATGAAACATCAGTAAAGCTTGGCTCTAGTTTTATACTGGGACATGCCTGTGACATTTTGACTGCTTGCATCTTGCCGTACCAGCCAATGCCTTAGATGATGACGTCTTTTACAGCTATCACTATGTTAGCATAGCTTCTCGTAGTTACCAAAGTGTATTATGTTCTCAAGAATCATCACATCATGTAACTGCTGGTATATCACTGTGAAAACGCACAATCTCTGACAATTGCTCAGAGTTGAGGAACAGATTTCTGAACTTTTTTTTTTTCTCTGACTGGTTTCTTTCAGATTTCCTCTGCCCATTTTTCCCTTGTTTGAAATAGTATTTGACCTGTTGACATGACAGACAAGGAAGAATGGGTATTAGTTCGAGTCTACTTGAGGTGTCTGACCAAAGAGAGAACGACCAATGAGAGCTAAATGGGGTGAAATGGAAATTTGAGTGAGCTCATGAGAAGCATCAAAGGTTTGGTATCATTGCTCACTCCTAACTTTAATTGCCTCAAGACTTGTACATGTTTTTTACAAGCAATCTGTTAGCTCATACGTCAGCTCCTGCCTTAGGAAACATGGTTAGAAAGTGTGCTTGCACTCAGCATTCATCTAGGTATGGCTGTTGTCCCAAAAGCGAGGTTCATTCACCCGGGGTGCAATACACCCATACACACACAGAGCAGAGGTATTTTATTCCATGTCTGTACAGAGATGGGTGCTAGGTGGTAGTCTCACAAAGCTAGCACACCCTTCAAAATCGCACGGCAACTTTTATATGAGATAGAAACAAAGAAACCACCCCAAAGCAAATGATTCGTTACCTATGATTGCATTTGACAAAAAAATCATCTGCACATGTCTCATTACCTAATTACTTCATTATACTAAGGTGGTCCTAAATTTCCATCTAAAATCTCCCCTAGGGATGTGTTTTTTAGCATTATAATGAGATTACAATGAGCTAAGTTCATCTGAAGAATGCAATTTCATGAGTTTCTGGACCCCAACCATCCGAGACCTTTTTGGAGATCAGTCTCTTCTTCTTATCTTATTGTTTTGGTTCTTCTGTATCGTATTCTGCATTCCTCAGAGGCACACTCCTCCAGTCATCAGACCTTGCATGGCTCATCATTCTCACTCACTGGAAAATTCCATTTTCTACTGTATATCATGGCTATCATGACACCTGGGTGGGCTATAGCTGCCCAGGCCTTCCTTGTTGCTGCTTTGTAGTGTGCTCTGCTGGCTCACCTAGCTGTTAATGGAAAGCTCATTTTCACGGGACTTGGTTTTGGTTTGTTGCCTCTGGGCTTCATGCTCTAATTAGAAAGGGGAGAATCCAAACTAAAACCAAACTCTACATCATTCATCCATTTTTTATGCTCCAATTTGCTGGATAAGCTTGAAGTTATTACCTTGTCCTGATGTACTGGATGTAAAGAACATGTAAACTCTCGATTTGGGGAAAAATCATGCCTGGAGATCATTATTGTGCCCTAATATCTGAGAGACCGGGCCTCTCTGGAAAGAGTTCGAAAAGACTTATTGCCTTTCTGAGCACCTTTTGGGAAGCGTAGCTGTTGATATTCCCTCATTATGCATCTTTGTGTATTTGAAACAAGGTAGGGGCATGGTGTCGTCATTCTCTAGGTGACTGGTTGGGTTGTGGGCGTGTCGTGTCCAGGACCACAGCCACATGGAGCAGCACAGAGCTGATGGATGGAGGTCCCTTCTGCCAGTTCTTGTCCTTTGCTTAGCACGTACACAGTAGCCATTACCACTCTGGCTCTTCATCCATGTGAAATTTTTGTCCTGTCACTTACCTCAAAAAATACTTGAATAAGAACTGTATTTTCTTTTAAGAGAAATTAAATATAGCAGGCAAAAGAACAGAACAAACATGATATGTACTTTGGTTAATAGGGTTTTGATAAAAAATTCAGGGGTTGCTTTTGAGTAGATCATTGATCTGTCTAACTGTGTGTAGTGTCTCTGGGGGCAGTGCTCAATACCTAATGCTTGCTGCAATAAAAAGTTTTTCTGAGTCAGGGAAGTGATAAGTCTGAATTCTATTGGCAAAGCCAGCAGCAATCATTGGATAGTTGGTGTTTGGTAATGATCTCCACGGTTGTTCTTTGGAGCAAACAGCAATTTCTCATGATGCTTGTGTCATTTTTGACAACACAGGAATGGTCCAAGTGGCGGGTGATGAGCGGAGAAGCCAGCCATACAGAACTCAGGATTGATTGCATTTACTGCAACCAGGTGCAGAATAAAACATTTCTCTTGGCTCTGTCTATACTGTGCAGGGTATTGCTTCCCGTCTTCTGCTTCCTCAGGTGCAGCTGGGGTAAACTGAAGCATCTCCAATGACATCGTTCAAAGTTAGTTTAAGTGAAGCACTTAGCAAAGCCTCAGTGGTGCAAGAAGAAATCTTAGAAGGATTCTTGGATTTGAATTATTTTATTCTAAAAAAATTAATATGAAACTTTCCAGGCAGACATTCTGCTGCAAATTTGCATAGCTCTGATTTATTTAATCTCAGGGTTTGATTTATTTCTTAACCTTTCAAGCTATTTTCTTATAATTTGTATTTTTAAAGTGATTCTTTAACGACTTTCTGTCCTCCTCTTGACTGTAGACGTTTTAAGAGTGCAACTGTTTTTTTTAAAGAAATGCTTATTTTGCAAAACTAGCCCAGTCAGCATTTGAAATACAAGGGATTATTAGCTTCAAGGAAGCATTTTGTAACTTCCATCTCCATTTGGGAGTTTCTGAAAAAGTCCTTATTTGTCATTTATTCAGCTCTCTGTAAACATTCAAATCCCTCAGCTCTAGTACTTAGTAGGAAAACAAAACCCCCAAAGTAGTAACCTTCTTCTAACAAGCTGAACTAAACTAAATTAAAACTAAATTCTGATGCTATCACAGTTAACTGGGGTTAACAGTGACCACATAGAAACTGACCTCCCAAAATGACTGTATTTTCAAACCCCACGCATGGATAGCTGTTAGTTTGCATCTAGCTTCATGACTTCCATTTTCTTAGGAGATAAGGATCGTCTCAGCTTACAAACTGACCATCCAGTGTAATTAGTGAAGTGGTATTTGAAGACATAAAAACAAAAATAGCTGCACTGATCTAAACAAAACAGGCTTTGTTCAATGAAAGTGAACAGGAACCGCAGTGACATTATCTGCATCACCTTCCGAAGCCTGGGGAATCCCTTTGCTCAGGTAGAGGCAGCTCCATGCACTTCATGGAAGTGTTAGACGGCCAGCTACTGGGCTACTGGTCACCTTCCACCAGAGCAAGTAGGACAAGGAAAAATCTTTAAGTATGTTATATTACAATATTGTGTAATCACTGTCACCAGCAAATGAGGTAACATGACATTTCAAGTGCTTTTTTTCTCAGCATGTGAGTAAGTTGTATGTCTTGGAAAGATATGCTGTGTGAATCTAAGTTGTGTGTGCAGCCAGTTATGTTTGGGGAAAGAGGTCTGGTAGCTTCTCTGTTCACTAGGTAGACCTGGTTTCTAAAAGAGTTAATTCTTGGAATGGCCATTATCACTGAGCTGAAGTGCCTAAAAGAAGGAATTACTCTTCTTTTGAGTGATTTGTTCAAGAAGCAGTGCCTGTTTTCTTATGTGTATGTATGTGTATATGTAGACAGTTGAAAAACTTGAACTTTGTGTCGCACATTTCTTCTTCAGAGGGCAGGCCAAGCTGGAAGAGTCTGAACATCTACTTCTTCTCTGCAAATGAATGATTCAGTTAAATTTTGAGGTTGCACTGGGGGAAGAATTATTCACATCATTAGCGAAACTGACCTTTTATGCTTCCCTCTTGCTCCAGGTGTAACATAACTTTATATCGGTGTGTGGATAGACACTCCAAATGAGAGCTGTTCCAAGAAATGTTTGGAAAACAGATCATCTTCAGGGATCTTCTCATGTATTTATCAGCAACTTCAGAATAACACAGGGATGATTTTGTCATCTGAATACTGATGGAACACTTCCAGCTCGGCCTCCTGTGACAGTCTGCTTGCAAAATATGGGTGATATACAGAAAAGATGGGGTGGGACTGCAATTTAGAAGCTCAAGCTGAGGTGGCCACAGCCATTTACTGCACTCGAGGTGGAGGAATCAAACTCTTCCACCTGAAATGAAGGTATAAAAGTATCACCAAAGTGTGCTGGAACTGATATGGCTGAAACCGTGTGTAGCTGGGAACCGTGAGTAGCTACATCTACATGACTTCAAAAAGTCACTGTGCGTCCCTGGCATATCCAGGAGTCAGGAACCTGTTGCCAAAGAACTGCCAACAAGTCCCTGTGGGGTGACAATGGCACCAATGGCAAGACCAAGGACCAAGCAAGAATTATCCCTGCATCTACTCATAATGTGGCAATTTGGAGGACAGAGTAAGAATAGGCTTGGGGAAAGCAAAAAGGAGTTTTCCACCCATCCACATGCATGTGGCACAGCTCCCAGGGAGGCTGGCAGAAACAGCAGGTCTGGAGCTTTCCAGAAGTGACTTTTAAAAGACAATTCTATCGAATAAGACTGAATCAGATCCAGAACAAAACTTGCTGTTAGTGGTGCTCCAGTGAACCAAGCTTTGAGACTTCTTCTAGAAAACTGACCTTAGAAATCTTAGCCTTTATGGCTGCATTGCTCCTGCTGCACGAGGAAAATTAATATTCCATCCCCCCACAGCTTTTCTGAAGCTTAAGTTGCTAGTTTTTGTGAGATGCAGAGAAAATATCTGAAGATGCCTTAGCTACGTATGATCGTTAATGCTATACACAATGGAGATGTGCACCATGCAGCTCCTGCTCAATCTGTCACAATTACCTTTGCTAGCCCTTAAAGCCAACCCGAATTAACTAGCGTGATTGCTAGTGAGGAAACAACTGAAAACATCTGCTTTAGAATTTTCTG